CTTAAAGCAGGCTGGCTGGGGGATTCTGGGAGTGGAAGCCCACCCCTCTTAAAGCAGGCTGGCTGGGGGATTCTGGGAGTGGAAGTCCTCCCCTCTTAAAGCAGGCTGGCTGGGGGATTCTGGGAGTGGAAGTCCTCCCCTCTTAAAGCAGGCTTGTTGCGGGATTCTGGGAGTGGAAGCCCACCCCTCTTCAAGCAGGCTGGCTGGGGGATTCTGGGAGTGAAAGCCCACCCTTCTTAAAGGAGGCTGGCTGGGGGATTCTGGGAGTGGAAGTCCACTCTTCTCAGTGGTGGGATTCAAATAATTTAAAACTGGCTAAAGAGATGCCCGGTGAACCAGACACAGACGCTTCCTGGCCACTCGTCCCTGAAGCACCAACCTCGCACTCTCCCCTCTCTGCTAATGGCTGCCCCCTTCTCCCTCTCCCCCCCAGCTGCTGGGAAATGCCCTATTCCCTGCCGCTGCCAGAGGGGCCAGCAGAGACCGAAAAGAGGGAGTCGGGGAGGGTCAGAGAGGGACAGGAGTACTAGCCCTGCCTGAACCTCCTGGGGTAGCTCCACTGTGGCTGCTGGTACCCCGTGGCGGTAGTCATATGGAGGCTCGGACTCCGAAAAGGAAAAGGAATGCCTTGAACGGTGCAGGCTCAGAGAAAAGGGAGGGAGGGAGCCTCTTTGCTCCTGCTCCCCTCGGGTGATGTTATGGCACAAAGTGGCTCTAGTAAGCTCAGGTGAGCCGCTGGCCGTCCAGATGAGCTGCCCGGTGAGGAGGGCCTGGGAGAGGCAAGGAGTGGCTGGGAGGCAAGGCTTTAGCCGGTTTGCTGAACCGACCAAAAAGTTAGCTACCGATTCTATTGAACGGGTGCAAACCGGCTGAATATCACCAGCGATCCTTCTTAAAGCATGCTGGCTGTGGGGTATTCTGGGAGTCGGAACCCCTCTATCTGAAAGGGGCCAAGGTTGAGCAGTGTTCTGACCAAGGCTTCCCGAGACCGTAATTAAGCACACGTTTAGTCCAAACAACTCTCGTTTTATTTCAACGCTGGGAATTATGTTCCTTCCCAGCCTGTAATGAGTCCCAAATAGTTCCTCGAGATAAGCACCCACCTTTCTCTCCTTTGAATCGCTGCCAACAGCTAGAGGGCCAAATGAATTATAAAAAAAACAACCGAAGTACAGAGCTTCGAGGATTAATCCAAGCAGAGCAAACGACTTTGCTTCCTGCAAAGGTTTATTGACCTTTGTCTGTCCTTTATCCCTTAGGGGAGAGGCAATCATCTCCCAGCCTTACTCCCAAGTCGCCCCTTTTGTCTCAGCTGCTCTCGCCTTCTAGCAGCTCTGCGCACACGCCCATGGGGAACAGGCTCCCTTTATTCCTCTGCCTCGCTGTTGCCAGACTCTGGAGGCAGCACTCCACACCCAGATGGTCCTGGCCCCACCTCTGCGTTGGACGCGGGACCCTCGTGCGAGTCCTCTCCAGAACTCCCAGACTGGTCCCCGTTCTTCCCCACTGTCCGATTCCGCTGCCGTCCGCGCCGTCTGCCGGCGAACCACAACAGGCCGATCCCTCTGGAGCAAACCCGTCACATGCACGCGCCCCCCTCCCCTTCTTGTGTCTCAGCTGCGTCTGGACGAAGCCCAGGAAGCGGAGTGCCAGGTCTTGAAAATGCAACTACAGCAGGAACTGGAGCTGCTCAACGCCTACCAGAGCAAAATCAAGATGCAGGCCGAGGCCCAGCACGACCGGGAGATGCGTGAACTGGAGCAGAGGGTCTCCCTGCGGAGGGCTATCCTGGAACAGAAGGTACGGGGTGGGGCGGGGGGTCTCCCTTCTACCCCTTTGGGGCCAAATTCTCCTCCTCTGGGGAAGAGCTACAGCCGGTCCGAGAGGTTGGGTCAGTCCGGGTGACCAGAACTTCCTGGCAATTCCCCTCCTTTAAAATTCGCCTTCCGCCCTCCGCAAATACAGGTTAAGTCCTCAGCGTACAGCAGTTCCCTTAGCGACTGTTCAAAATTACAAGAGCACTGAAAATAAGTGACCTGGGACCGTTTTTCGCACCCATCACCACCTTTTTTCTGGTCCACAAGAGAAAGCGTCCTCCCGTATTGCGTAACGGTACGGTACGCTTGCTCGACAGCCAGGGATAGAAAGACACGACAGAGGGTGGTGAGCACAGCCCACAGCATCGTGGGCTGTTCCCCGACACTGCTAGATGGCCTCTAGCAGAATCTGCACGGCAGTCAGGCAGGCAGGCAAAATATGTGAGATAAACGTTTTTTGTAACTTACGCTCAGTAAAACAGATATACTGTGCTAGTTAAATAGTTTATTCCAGTAAGAGTTATAGCATAGTCAAACAGTCCATATATCATTCACTAGTTCAGTCCGTCCAGGATTATTCAGTTGCAAAGTCCAGTGTCGAAAAAGAGGTCAGTAAACTTACAAATATCTGTCCAATAATATATCTCCTTGCAGTAGAGATATGAAGAAGTCAAACCTCTTTTCTTCCTTCGACGTTCAGCAACTCAGCAGTAGGGATAAACATGCAGTTAACAAACCATCAATCCATCAAACCAGCAATCGTCAGCAATCCAGCAGGTTCTCTTTCTCCCTCTTAGGGCGGTTTCACAACCGCACCCCAAAATTCCATGCTTTGCAGTTTCAAGTGACACACACTTAAACTTACTATCATAGTTTATATATATTATTTTACCCAGACTACGTTAGGTAACCTTGTTATCCCTAACAACCTCGCTAGGACTCGCTGCCTTAGAAGAGCGAGGAAAATCCTCAGGGACGACTCACACACCCCACCGGTCAGTCCTCTTTCACTTTCCTACCATCGGGTGGGAGACAGAGAAGCAGAGCCAGCCGCATCAACAGGCCAAAGAACAGTTTCTACCCGTGGCTGTCAGACTCCTGAACGGAAAATAACTTCATGTCAACATAGTATGATAGGTTTGCAGGGCCGGTGTGTCATGTCCAGAGTTTTTTTGCAGTGTTAATTCAGCGCCAGAAAAACAAACACAGGTGGCTGATGCTTCATTTGACATCTCTATAAACATAATAAGTCAATTTTTACAAACCAGTTGTAGATTTCTCCGACACGGAGCAAACTCAGACGGAAACACGTTGCAAGTAACTTCAGAGCAGAGCTCCAGTCTTCAGCAAGCAAGCAAGCAAGCTAGTTTCTCTTTCGCTTTAGTTCAGCAGACAGGCAAGAGGAGAGAAGCGGTTTCGTTTTCAATAGACAGACTCAGAGCTTCGCAGAGTTGCAGAGCTTATTATCGAGCCACACCGGGGCGACTTCTAGTTTCAGTTTCCAAACAGCTCTCACTGGCTGACTTAGTTGCTATTCTCGATTCCTGTTCGTGAACATACTCTGGCAGGTCACACCGTGTAATAAGATTGGGTCAGGGTTAGGGAAGGTGATAAGTCACTTTTTCC